AGAATGGGTAGTGAAAGAAGGAAATTACAAATACCAGCTATCACCACCTACAAGTTGCAGAAATAAGGACTTTAATAGTGACAAGTAGCAGAAAAAGGACTTTAACAATTTAACAGGACTATCTTCCTTGCTTTGACATAAATATATTTGTATATATTAACCAAATTGCTTTTGTTTTCCTGTCTTCCATTATCTATCATCTAACATAAATGTATGTTAACAAAGATTAACTTTTTTTACACTTTCCTTTTTAGGGCAGTTTGAGGTTCATAACAAGATTTAGTAGAAAGTACAGAGATTTCCCATATTCTCCCTGTCCCCACTACGTGCATAGCTTCCCTCACTATCAACATCCTGTCCCAGAATGGATCATTTGTTACAAATGAAGAACCTACATTGACATATAATTATCACCCAAAGTCCATAGTTTACATTAGGGTTTGCTCTTGGTGTTGTATACATCTAACAAATGTAAAATGACACATAGTCACTATTAAAGCATCATAAAGAACAGTTTCACTGCCCTAAAAATCCTTTGTGCTCTACCTAGTCAACCCTCCCTTCTCCAACTGCTGATCTTTTTACTGTCTCCATAGTTTTGCCTTTTCTAGGATATCATATAGTTGGAATCATAGAGTATGTAACCTTTTCAGAGTGGCTTTTTCACTTGGCAATAAGCATTTAAGGTTCCTCCATGCCTTTTCATCACTTGATAACTAAATTTTGGGGAAGGGCTGAATAACATTCCATTTTCTGGATGTACCACTGTTTATTTATCCATTCACCTAACGAAGGACATTTTGGTTGCATCCGAGATTTGGCAATTATGAATAAAGCTGCTCTAAACATCCACGTGTAGGTTTTTGTGTAAATAAGTTTTCAACTCATTTGGGTAAATGCCAAAGGAGTACAACTGCTGGATCCTATGGTAAAAGGATGTTCCATTTTGTAAGAATCTTCCAGCATTTGGTGGTGTTGCTGTTTTGGATTTTGGAGATTTGAATAGGTATGTAGTAGTATCTCATTGTTGTTTTAATTTGCAATTCCTTAATGACATATGATGTTGAGGATCTTTTCATATGCTTATTTGCCATTTGTATATCTTCTTTTTTTATTTATATTTTATTTTATTTATTTATTTTTGGCTGCGTTGGGTCTTTGTTGCTGCGCACGGGCTTTCTCTAGTTGCGGCGAGCGGGGTCTACTCTTCCTTGAGGTGCACAGGCTCCTCACTGCAGTGGCTTCCCTCATTGTGGAGCACAGGCTCTAGGTGCGCAGGCCTCAGTAGTTGTGGCTTGCAGGCTCTAGAGCACAGGCTCAGGAGTTGTGGCACACGGGCTTAGTTGCTCCACGGCATGTGGGATATTCCAGGACCAGGGCTCGAACCCATGTCCCCTGCATTGGCAGGCAGATTATTAGCCAGTGCACCAGCAGGGAAGCCCCTGTATATCTTCTTTAGACAGGTGTCTGTTTGGATCTTTTGCCCATTTTTAAATCAGATTGCTCATTTTCTTACTGTTTACTTTTAAGAGTTCTTTGGGGGCTTCCCTGGTGGCACAGTGGTTGAGAGTCTGCCTGCCGATGCAGGGGACACGGGTTCGTGCCCCAATCCGGGAAGATCCCACACGCCGCAGAGCGGCTGGGCCCGTGGGCCATGGCCGCTGAGCCTGCGCGTCTGGAGCCTGTGCTCCGCAACGGGAGAGGCCACAACAGTGAGAGGCCCGCGTACCGCAAAAAAAAACCCAAAAAAAAACAAAAAAGAGTTCTTTGTATATTTTAGATAATAGTTCTTTAGCAGATGTGTCTTTTGCAAATATTCTGTCCTAGTCTGTGGCTTCCCTTCTCATTCTCTTGAACTTTAGTCTTTTTTAATCCCTCTATTCCTCCATTATTTCCTTCTTTTGTGTTAAATAGGTATTTTCTAATGTACCATTTTACTTCTTTGTCATTTCCCTTACTAAGTATTTTTTAGTTATTTTCTTAGTGGTTGCTCTAGGGATTACAATTCACATTTTAATTTATAGCAATCTAGTTGTTCAAATTAATACTGACTTAATTTCAATAGCATACACAAAAAATCTGCTCCTATGTAACTCTCTTCCCTCCTTCCTCCTTTGTGTTATTGTCATACAAATTATATCTCTATGCATTGTATAAAGCAACTCAGATTATTGCCCTTTATAGTTGTATTTTAGATCAGATAGGAGGGGGGAAAATGTGACAAACAAAAAAATACACTTATATTGTCTTTTATATTTACCAAGGTAGTTACATTTACCAATGCTCTTTCTTTCTTCATGTGCTATTTCACTGTCTAGTGCTCTTTCATTTCAGTCTGAATGACTCTCTTTAAAATTATTTCTTATAGGGGAGGTCTGTGATAAATTCTCTCAATTTTTTTAATCTAGGAATGTCTTAACTTCTTCATTTTTTAAAGGTAGTTTCACTGAATACAGAATTCTTGGTTGGCAACTTCTTTCATCACACTGCCTTAATGGTTACAGAAGATAAATCAGAGGTTAAGTCTTATTGGGGATCCTTTGTATGTGATGAATCACTTCTCTGTTGTTGCTTTCAATACTCTCTTTGTCTTTTGCTTCCAATGGTTTGATTATGTGTCTAGGTGTGGGTCTTTTTGAGGTATTCCTACTTGTTAAGTTTCTTGGATATGTATATTCATGTTTTTTCTTCAAGTTTAAGGAGTTTATCAGTCCTCACTTCTTCAAATATTCTTGCTGCCCTTTTTTTTCCTATCCTCTCCTTCTGGGACTATTAGTATGTATATGTTGCTACACTTCGCTAATGTCCCACAAGTCTCTGAGGCTCTGTTCATTTTTCTTCATTCTTTTTTTTTTTTTCCTGTTTCGCAGACTGAATAATATCAATCGACCTATCTTAACGTTCACCAATTTTTTTCTTCTGCCTGTTCAAATCTAGTATTGGGCCCCTCTAGTAAATTCTTCATTTCAGTTACTTTTCTCCTCAATGCCAGAATTTATTTGGTTCTTTTCTATAATTTCTATCTAGTAATTGATACTCTCTGTTTGGTGAAACATTATTATACTTTCTTTTACTTCTTTACTATATATAAAGAAGTAAAAGAAAGTATACTTTTATACCTTTACTTCCTTGAACATACTTAAATAGCTGACTTAAAGTCTGTCTAGCAAATCCAATATTTGGGCTACCTCAGTTTCTATGGACATTTCATTCACCAGCTTCTTCTTTTAAGCTTTTCTTTTCCTTTGGTTAATTTGTTGTTTGCTCCAGTTGTTATCGGCATCTCAGGCAGCTATGTTGTTAAACAGTTGTTGCTGATTGTTCTTGACAAATGACTCTAAGGAAAATACTGTTTACACTGGACAAGTTCTCTGTCAGGTTACATAAAGACAAGCTTTTTGAGACTGGTTTACCAGGGAACTTCCAGACAGGCCAAATAATGACAAGTCTCTGAATATGGGGCTTTGAAAGAGCTCCAACTCCATTTTGACTCCTCCAGTGCTGGGTAAGATGCTAGTTTTCACCATGATTGCAGGCTGTTGGTTTTCAAGGCTACCATGGAGCTGGAGAAAGAACTGTTACCAGAGCAAGTAAAAAATGCCACAAAGCTTGCTGTTCTTACAGAGAAAACGCTGTTGACTTGTTTTTAATAAATGCTCCCCCAGATTGTTGTAAGCCTTTGGTTAATTTCCAAAGTTCTGAAAAAGTTGAGCTTGACGATTTTTGCAAGTGTTCTTGGTAATTTTATAACAGAGTATTTTCAGATGTGGTTATTCTGCCAGTCTCAGTAACATCACTCTCGTTCACCTCATTTTAAGATTACTTTTAAAGACATTAAATTATTTAAAGCAATAATAATAGTATATTGTGGGGTTAATAATATATTTAGAAGTACGTGTATGACAATAATAGCACAAAGAATAGGAGGGGGTACATGGAAATAATCTGTTGTAAAAATTCCATACATTATAAGTGAAATTGTATGACATTATTTGAAGGTAGACTACAGTAAATTAAAGATGGATGTTGTAAATCCTAGAGCAAACACTAAAAAAAAAAGAGAGAGAGAGAGAGAAAAAGAAATAATTCAATAGAAGAGAGAAAATAAAATACTAAAAAATACCCATTAATAAAAGATATTATGAAAAACAGAAAAGAACCAAAGAACAGACAGGACAGAAAACAAATAGCAAGGTGGCACACTATACTGCAACTGTATGTGCCTGTCTACCTATCTCTCTCTTATGCTCTATCTATGTATACCCATTTTCTCTACTAGATTATAAACTTACCTAATTTAAGTGATAAACAGAAACAAGCCAAAGTTAATTGCTGTAATAAATACACTATAAATTCTAACTTCTCTATTTTGGAATTTATGATAATTTATAAAATTTTACTTAATATATAAGACACTATGAAAAAATACAAAACTCACCTGTCTTCATAAAATAAATCTCAGAATTTTAGTGCTAAGTTATTTCAGAAACCACTTTGTACAATTTCATTTTACAATTAAGGAAACTCAAAGTGACTGACTGACTGATAATTAATCAAAAGCATCACATGGCCAGTCAGCAGTAGAGCCATAGTAAAATTCTTATTTCATATCTTTTAGTCCAGTTCTCTCAAGAGAAAAAAATTTCTATGCAACACCAACCACATATGCAACTATATATAAATAACATGCTTATTTCAAATGATTCTTATCTAGCAGATCTAGAAACATCTTGTTAAGTTGTACACAAACTTTAAAATAATCAAACTTTTTTAAATGCCTATTGTTGAATTTAGAGTTTCAACTAATTCAAATTCTCATCAATTAACAAGATTATTGAACTATACTATACTTAGCGAAAATCGAAGATTCCGTGGCTAAATAATCATTTAAAATACTCGCTACCAAAATCAGAGAATATAATCATTCAAATCAATGACCAAATCATTCACACTTATGCCAAAAATGACTTAAAAATTATAAAATCTGTATGTATTATTACCTGTAGCTCCAAGTGGGTGTCCCTTTGAAATCAATCCACCACTAGGATTTATGACCCACTTTCCTCCATAAGTATTATCTCCTCTATCAACCAGTTTCCCACCTTGACCTATAGAAGGAAAAATAATATTCATAAATGTTAAAAATAACATCAGAGCAAATGATATGTTTGTTTTTTTTAAACTTACAGATAGCCAAGAATTTCTTGGAGCAAACATTTCTTGATGGCTCAAACTAACTTCAAATTGATACAAGCACTTCTAAAAGTGAGGTAATAAATATTGAGTAATAAAAGCTTACATTTTCAGAACACTTCCTGCATGAAACAAAGCTCCTATTAGCTCCTAAGAGCTCTCTGCTTCCAAAATTGCTACAAATATAATCGAGATTCAGAGAACCAGAAGAAAAGCATCGAAATAGATACAATACTGTAAAATAATATTAGGTTTAAAAATTCATAATTTTGACAAAATATTCATTTCCATTTCAACTGTACTATTACATTCTATATAAATATTCTTAGTAAACAACAGGGGGGAAAGGGACAGAAAAAAAAGAGCGCTTTCATGAACTGAAGGAAAATGACTGAAAATACCGTTGAGCATAAATGTAAGCTTAAAAGAAAAAAATTACATCACATGCTTGGCAGCTTCAACATTCCTATCGATTCCCTGGTCATTCTTCCAGGTGGTTAAGAAGTAAATAAAAATGCATGTACTGTATAAAATATTCTTCCAGATGATATTTCTGGTAATGAGAGGTGGAATCTCCAAATGGTGGTGGTGGTGTTATCAGAGGTGGCTAATAGCTGTTACGTACTCACTCTGTGTCAGGCCTTGTTCTCATTATTTTACGTATATTTACATAATTTAATTTAATTCTCAACCCTATGAAGTAGGTACTATCATTCCCATTTTACAGATAAGGAAAGAGACACATAGATATTAAGTAACCAATCTAAGGCCAAAGTAGGGGATCTAGAATACTCAGGCAGCCTGGCTCCATAGCCTGTGTTCTTAGCCAACACATTTTATTGCCTTCAAAAACAAGAGCGTTCCTCTACTGGCAAAATGAAACATACTAATCACAGAATTTGAGATGACTTAACACTTTTAATTTGATTTTAAATCTAGGTTGTAGATTAAAAACCATCCATTGAGACATTCTTCTATTTTTTGATGTGTTTCTAACATAGAACCTGATACAAGGCTCTAGTCATAACAAGTAAACTATCTGCTATTACTGCTTTCATATTGTTAAATATTGTCACTGTACTGAGTAATAGCAGACTGAACACAAACCAAGAAGTGAATAATTTACTCCATGATTTTCCGTAATACATACAATCCTATGAAGTATCAGAATATTCCACTGGGGAATTAACATTCCAGAAGACCTGCTTTATAAGAAATGCTAAAGTAAATTCTCTAGAAAAATTTGGATCAGCAAGAAAGAGGAAAGAACAACAGAAATAATAAATATCTGGGTAAATATAAAGGAGTTTTTTCCTCTTAAGGTCTTTAAAATATGTGCAACTATTGAAAACAAAAATTATAACACTGTCTTTGAGGTTTTTTTAATGTACATAGATGTAATACATATGATAATTTAACATAAAGGTGGGTGTAAGGCAGAAGGGAATTGGTTAATGGACGTATATGTTTACAAGGTTTCTACATTTTATGCGAAGTGGTACAATATTAATGCTAAGGAGACCCCTATAGCAGTGGTTCTCAGCCCAGAGAAATTTTGTCCCCCAGGGGACATTTGGCAATGTCTGGAAACATTTTTGATTATCACAACTGTGGGGGCAGGTACTACTGGCATGTAGTGGGTAGAGGGCCAGGAATGCTGTGAAACATCCTACAATGTCCAAGCCCCACAAAAAAGAATAATCTAGCTCAAGTGTCAACAGTATTGAGGTTGAGAAACCCTGCAACCACTAAAACAAAACAAAACTAACCAAAAACTAAGCTAAGAATAAACAGATTTGGCCAAAAAGCCAATACATACTAAAATGTCATACTAAAAATATTCAGATAATCCAAAAGGCAGCAGGTGAGAGAGAACACAGAGTAACAAAAAACAAAGGGACATATAGAGGAAACATAATAAAACGGTCAACCTAAAGCCTACTATATAAATATGTAATTACATTAAACGTTAATGCTCTTTAAATCACACTGCCCAACAGAAATATAATGCAAATCACATATGTACTTTAAAATTTTCTAGTATATATTTTATTTAATATATATTTTATAATGTTTAACCTAATATATCCAAAATATTTTCATTTCAAAATGTAACCAATATAAGGACTTCCCTGGTGGCACAGTGGTTAAGAATCCACCTGTCAATGCAGGGGACAGGGGTTTGATCCCTGGTCCAGGATGATCCCACATGCTGTGGAGCAACTAAGCCCGTGTGCCACAACTACAGAGCCTGCGTTCTACAGCCCACGCACCACAACTACTGAAGCCCACGTGCCTAGAGCCTATGCTCTACAACAAGAGAAGCCACCGCAATGAGAAGCCCGCACACTGCAACAAAGAGTAGCCCCCGCTCGCCGCAACTAGAGAAAGCCCGCACACAGCAACGAAGACCTAACACAGGCAAAAATAAATAACTTTTTTTTAAAAATGTAAGCAATATAAAAAATTATTAATGAAATACTTTATATTCTATTTTTCATATTAAGTCTTCAAAATCTGATGTGTACTTCATACTTACAGCACATCTCAATTTGTACCAGCCACATTTTAAGGATTCAATAACCACATAGAGCTAGTGGCTACTGTATTAGATGACACTCTGTTAAACACTCCATTAAAAGGCAGAAACTGACAAAGTTGATAAAAAACAATACACTACTGCCTACAAGAGACACACCTTAAATAGACAAATAAATAAGTAAATAAATAAATAAATAACCTAAATAGGTCAAAAGCAAACGGATAGAAAAAGATATATCATGTAAACAGTAAGCATAAGAAGGCTGGCATGCTATGTTAGTCAGATAAAAGACACTTCTAGACAAAGAATGTAACCAGAGATAAAGCAGAATGTTTCATAATGAAAAAAAACACAACTCATCAGGAAGACATAACAATTATAAATAAGAGAGCCTCAAAATAAATGAAGCAAAAATTGACAGAAATAAAGAAAGAAATAGTTCCACAATTGTAGTAGGAGATTCTAACACCCCTCTCTCAGCAAGTGATACAGCAAGTCAAATAAATTAGTAGAGACACAGGTCTTAAAAATTCTATCAATCACCTTGATTTAATTAACATATATAGAACACTACATCTAACAACCACAGAATCTGCATTATTTTTCAAGTGCATAAGTTCACCAATATATACCATATGCTGAGCCATAAAGTAAATTTCAATTAATTTAAAAGGATCAAAATCAAACAAAGCCTAATCTCTGACTACAGCAAAATTATAATAGACAGCAATAACAATAAGATACCTAGGAAAATTCCAAATACCTGGATATTAAACAGTGCACTTCTAAATAATTACAGGTCAAAGACAAAATTAGACATTAAAGGGAATTTTGAAATAAATGACAATGAATATATCAAAATCTGTGGAATGCAGCTAAAATACTGCTTAGAAGAAAATGTATAGCTTTACATACTTACACTAGAAAAGGAGAAATATCTAAAATAAATGATCTAAGGATCTATCATAAGAAACTTAAAGCAAAGCAAAACCAAACAAAAAAGAGTAAACCCAAAGTAAGTTTAAGGAAGTAAATAATAAAGAGCAGAGATCAGTGAAATGGAGGGGAAAAAAAGACAGTAACAAAGGCAAAAGCTGATTCTTTGTAAAGCTCAACAAAATTGACAAACTTCTAGCTAGACAGATGAAGAAAAAAGGAGAAAGAACAAAACCCATCAATATCAGGAATTAAAAAAAAAAGGTTATCACCATAGATTCTATAGACATTAAAAGGATACTAAGAGAATACTTTGCACAACTTCAGTGAAGAAATTTAGCTACTTAAATAAAACTGACAATTTTCTTGAAAAATATCTTACCAAAATTAATAGGTACAGGAAGAAACAAAAACTATAGATCAGACCTTCAAGATGGCGGAGGAGTAAGACGTGGAGATCACCTTCCTCCCCACAAATACACCAGAAATACATCTACATGTGGAACAACTCCTACAGAACACCTACTGAACACTGGCAGAAGACCTCAGAATTCCCAAAAGGCAAGAAACTCCCCACGTACCTGGGTAGGGCAAAAAAAAAGGAAAAACAGACACAAAAGAATGGGGACGGGATCTGCACCTCTGGGAGGGAGCTGTGAGAGAGGAAAGGTTTCCACACACCAGGAAGCCCCTTCGTGGGCAGAGAGTGAGGGTGGCGGAGTGGGGAAGCTTCGGATCCACAGAGGAGAGCGCAGCAACAGGGGTGCGGAGGGCAAAGCGGAGAGATTCCCACACAGAGGATCGCTGCTGACCAGCACTCACCAGCCCGAGAGGCTTGTCTGCTCACTGGCTGGGACGGGTTGGGGCTGGGAGCTGAGGCTCAGGCTTCGGAGGTCAGACCCCAGGGAGAGGACTGGGGTTGGCTGTGTGAACACAGCCTGAAGGGGGCTAGTGCGCCACAGCTAGCCGGGAGGGAGTCCAGGAAAAAGTCTGGAACTGGCTAAGAGGCAAAAGAGCATTGTTCCAGGGTGCATGAGGAGAGGGGATTCAGAGCACCACCTAAACGAGCTCCAGAAATGGGCACGAGCCACGACTATCAGTGTGGACACAAGAAACGGGAATGAAATGCTAAGGCTGTTGCTGCCGCCACCAAGAAGCCTGTGTACAAGCACAGGTCACTATCCACACCTCCCCTCCCAGGAGCCTGTGCAGCCTGCCACTGCCAGGGTCCCGGGATCCAGGGACAACTTCCCCAGGAGAACACACGGCGCACCTCAGGCTGTTGCAACATTGTGCTGGCCTCTGCCGCCACAGGCTCACCCCACATTCCATACGCTTCCCTCCCACAAGCCTGAGTGAGCCAGAGCCCCGTGATGAGCTGCTACTTCAACCTCGTTGTCATGTCTGGGCAGGGAACAGACGTCCTCAGGCAACCTA